CTCCTCAGGGTAAAGGCTGCTCCCCGCCCCCCCCCCCCTCCCCCCCTGTGCTGGCAGAGCTGAGTAATAGCCACACCCCTCATCACAGACTTGGATTTCAATGGAAGAGAGGGGAGATGTTAGACCAGAGAGAGGTGTCACCATATTGAACCTCAAACTGAGTGGGGGAGAAGAAGTGATCCGTGCTGAACACATTGCCACCCTCATTTCTCCAGAATTCACAAGCCAGTGACAGTGATCAGATTCAGATCTCGTGCCTGGGGACCAGGAAGAGAACTGACACATTCAGCCTCAGCGGATCAGGTTGAAGAAACCGTCCCTAGCCCGGGGGTCTGCCCGGCCCCAAAGCTCTTCTAACTGACCCCCATCATGAAACTGCCCTCTAGATCCTTGGTTCTCAACTGGTGGGTCGTGACCCCGTGTTCAGCGGGTCGCCGCGCGCCTTCCACTTTTCTAGGTGAGAGGCTCCTCCCCCTAGCGCAGCACTGTCAGTTCTCCCGACAAGCAGCCATTCATATGCTGCCCGGTGCCGAGTGTTACCTTGAGGTGGGGCGGGGCTACGGCCGCGAGGAAGCTCCACCCATACGTGCATTCCTTACAACTCCCTCACGTGCCCTGTAGCGGTGCCTGGACCGGAGTGACGTCACACTCTGGCTCCCGGCACCTCTACAGGGTGCGCAGGGGAGCTGTACCAGCAATGCTCATATGGATGGAGCTCCGTCACAGCACAGCAGCCCACACTGGACCCCAGGCTGAGGATCCACCCGTTCTTGTAAGGTGGGAGGAGACTGGGAGGACATACCGTGTGTTCAGGGGTGGTGCTGCGTTGCCATTCATTTGAAACGCACCTCCCACCCACACTTTTATTGCCCACACCTGAATGCACGGTACCGCAATGCTGTGCGTTCCACTGCAGAGCGACCTAATGACCGAGGACAAAGGCGGGTCCTGAGGTTACACAGGTTGAGAACCGCTGGACTCGGCAAGATCCAAGGTATGCCGGCCAGAGCCTGAAGTCTGCAATCTCTATCAAGGCGGAGCCTGTGAATGTGGTGAATATTTGTACTTTGCTGCAAACACACATCCTGAATTTCTTTTTTCAAATACCGGTATCAGGTTTCATAATCGGTTCTGTAATAGAGACGTCGTCGTAGAACGGGTCTACACTGATGTATAAGAGAATGCCAAACACGTAGATACCAAACATGCCAATGCTATAATGTGCAGCGGGCTAACTGGTCACATGACCTCTCCCGAGAAGAAGACGCGTGAGATCCATATCATGTCTATCAAATTGGGATTTTATCCATTGCAAGACTATGTTGGGTGCTGAACCGCAGTGGCGTCACAAGGGGGGGCGGGGGGTGCAGCCCGCTCCCGGGTGGCACCATTGGAGGGGTAACACCCCCTGGTGTCACCCCCTCTGAAAAGTCAGGCACTCTGTCATGGACCGAGAGCCCGACAGTTTCGGGAGAGGACCCGGCGGCATACGTTATCCTGCCGGGTGACTGTCCCCTCCTCTCCCTGCCGGCGTCCATTCACCAAAATGGCCGCCGGCAGGTATCAATAAGATGAGCGCTCATGTGCGATGACATCACGGTGGGTGTCGCCCGGTATCCGCTCCAGGTGACACAAAAGACATGGTGATCTGGAAATACTGATATGGTGAGCTAAATTGAGGGAGTGGTCACTGGATCACCATAAGACACCCCAACACCTCTCAGTACACCTCTCGGTACCCCCCTCTGTACACCTTTCAGTACACCCGACGTTACACCCCTCAGTACACCCCTCTGTACACCTCTCAGTACACCCCTCGGTACACCTCCCAGTACACCCCTCGGTACACCCCTCGGTACACCTCTCAGTACCCCCCTCGGTACCCCCCTCTGTACATCTCTCAGTACACCCCTCAGTACACCTCTCAGTACCCCCCTCGGTACCCCCCTCTGTACATCTCTCAGTACACCCCTCAGTACACCTCTCAGTACACCTCTCAGTACCCCCCTCGGTACCCCCCTCTGTACACCTCTCAGTACACCCGACATTACACCCCTCGGTACACCTCTCAGTACACCCCTCTGTACACCTCTCGGTACACCCCTCAGACCCTTGGATTGGTTATGGCATTTTGGTGAACACCCTCTTCAGGGTCAGCTGCCGCTCGGAAGCTCTCATTTGATATCGGATCCGCTAAAAGTACTGGAAGAGTCATTGATGAGAGAATCGGACTGACACTGCAGCGGATTGGACTCTGCGTGGGAGCCGCAGACCAGGAACTCTGCGACGCACCTCTCATTTTTTATTCCTGTTTATTTTATTGTCGTCTATTTTGTGATTGTTTTTCCTTCACCGTTTTCTCATTTCCGTCATCAAAACAATATTTAGAAATCATTATGTTGGCCCCCTAAACGCTTTATAATCGGAGACGACGGATCTTTGCCTCTTTGAAGAAAGCAACCGAACGATAAACTCTGTACATTCCTGTCTGGGCGTTGCAGCGAGTGTCACGAGTTTAACATTGCTACAGCGTATGCTGGGCACGGGGAGTGTTTCTGTTGTAGCACATGGTGGTTACTATTGTTTGTGTGTAGAGGATTGACTGGGGAGTCAGCTGACCTCAGTGAGGATCACTTTCAATCTTCTGGTGCTTAGAGTATTGTCCCGTGAGCAGTGTGTGACCATAGAGGGGGGTGTGTCTGACTGTGTGTCTGACCATAGAGGGGGTGTGTCTGACCATAGAGGGGTGACCATTGAGGGGTGGTGTCTGACCATAGAGGGGGCTTGACCACTTCTGTTACTGAGTAGGTGTGACCATAGAGGGGTGACCATTGAGGGGTGTGTCTGACTATTGAGGGTGTGTGTAACTATAGAGGGGGTGTGTCTGACCATAGAGGGGGTGTGTCTGACCATAGAGGGGTGACCATTGAGGGGGGTGTCTGACTATTGAGGGTGTGTGTAACTATAGAGGGGGTGTGTCTGACCATAAAGGGGGCTTTACCACTTCTGTTACTAAGTGCTGATTACTGAGTGCACTGGCTCTGATTCTGGACTGCGCGGAGGTCATGCTGCTGGAACAGGAACCAGGGAAGGCGAAATATAATCCCCTGGAGAGTATTCCGGTCACACATTAGATTTAAAGACTCATTTTTTAGCTTTGGGTAGCAAGGGGAGGAGCTATAATATCTGTCAGGAATGTATTATATACCTGTACCCACATTTTGGAAACCTTCTTCCACTTCCCGTCACTGTGACAACAGGCCCAAAACATGGGTGGAGCGGTTGTCACCCGGACAGGAAGACACAAACAGCCGTTAAAATATTCGCTGTTCTAACCCTTCCCTACTGTACTACAATGTGTTTCTTTTTTCTGGGCTCCCATTGGCTAGATTTCCCATCACTTCCTGTCCTGGCTGTGCCGTCAGACTACCGAGGTAGAGAGAGAATATGGCAAGGCGTGTGTGTGTGAGGCTTAATCTGCAACTGTTTCCAGACAGAACTTAGCTGGAAGGAAGCTACACCCGGGTGGAGTGTCCCTTTAGGTTAGGTAGGTGGGTGGAGTGCCCCTTGAAATCCCCGCATTAGGTTAGGTAGGTTAGTGGCAGCGATGGGGTCCTGTCCGGCGGGAGATACGTCCCGGTATACGAGCTACATACATGTCCTTATTACCACCGAGCGTCCCTCATATATGATGCGGTACACGGTACATCTCCGGGTGGCGCCGCGCGTGGTATTAGGAGGCGTTGGCGGTGATGAAGATGTAGATCCGGGACAGGAAGCTGGTCACCGTCCCCTGGCGGAAGAGCTTCATCTCCACGTCCAGGAGGAAGTCTTTGGGCTTCCTGACGGGTCTCTGGAGGTTCAGGATCCCCGTGTACGGGTTGAACTTCCTGACGCTGAAGTAATTCTCCTCGTTCCCCTTCTTGATGTCCATGAGGATGTTGTCGCCCGCGTAGGCCGGCGACGGGGCGATGCGGAAGATCTGGGCCGGGACCACCACGCCGGTGGGGAAGTTGAGGCGCTGGTAGGAGATCCGCGCCGGTGTGTTCTGACAGTCCTGGTAGTTGAAGCATTGAATCCTCTCGCACTTCCTGCAAAACCATAGAGAGCAATTACCGAGATGGCGGGTGGGGTGATGCGACCGTGTCCCCGGTTCTGGTAGACTGGATGGTCACCTAATGGTCTCTTCCATCCCTCAGGGGCTCTATTGGTGAGACCCGCTGTGCCCATTATGAGGGGCTCCCACCATCCCTGTGCTGAGTTCCCGGGTCTGTACTCCCGCTGTGCTCATTATGAGGGGCTCCCACCATCCCGGTGCTGGGTTCCCGGGTCTGTACACCCGCTGTGCCCATTATGAGGGGCTCCCCCCAGCCCTGTGCTGAGTTCCCGGGTCTGTACTCCCGCTGTGCTCATTATGAGGGGCTCCCACCATCCCGGTGCTGGGTTCCCGGGTCTGTACACCCGCTGTGCCCATTATGAGGGGCTCCCCCCAGCCCTGTGCTGAGTTCCCGGGTCTGTACTCCCGCTGTGCTCATTATGAGGGGCTCCCACCATCCCGGTGCTGGGTTCCCGGGTCTGTACACCCGCTGTGCCCATTATGAGGGGCTCCCCCCAGCCCTGTGCTGAGTTCCCGGGTCTGTACTCCCGCTGTGCTCATTATGAGGGGCTCCCACCATCCCGGTGCTGGGTTCCCGGGTCTGTACACCCGCTGTGCCCATTATGAGGGGCTCCCCCCAGCCCTGTGCTGAGTTCCCGGGTCTGTACTCCCGCTGTGCTCATTATGAGGGGCTCCCACCATCCCGGTGCTGGGTTCCCGGGTCTGTACACCCGCTGTGCCCATTATGAGGGGCTCCCCCCAGCCCTGTGCTGAGTTCCCGGGTCTGTACTCCCGCTGTGCTCATTATGAGGGGCTCCCACCATCCCGGTGCTGGGTTCCCGGGTCTGTACACCCGCTGTGCCCATTATGAGGGGCTCCCCCCAGCCCTGTGCTGAGTTCCCGGGTCTGTACTCCCGCTGTGCTCATTATGAGGGGCTCCCACCATCCCGGTGCTGGGTTCCCGGGTCTGTACACCCGCTGTGCCCATTATGAGGGGCTCCCCCCAGCCCTGTGCTGAGTTCCCGGGTCTGTACTCCCGCTGTGCTCATTATGAGGGGCTCCCACCATCCCGGTGCTGGGTTCCCGGGTCTGTACACCCGCTGTGCCCATTATGAGGGGCTCCCCCCAGCCCTGTGCTGAGTTCCCGGGTCTGTACTCCCGCTGTGCTCATTATGAGGGGCTCCCACCATCCCGGTGCTGGGTTCCCGGGTCTGTACACCCGCTGTGCTCATTATGAGGGGCTCCCACCACCGCTGTGCCCATTATGAGGACCTCCCACCATCTCTTAATGCACCACATCTGACGACACATGGGTCCCATTGAAAGTGAATGGGTGATGCATCAAGTACATGCATTAATGTGCATACAATAACGCATGTATGGGTGCGATAGAGCCAATGTGTTTCCATTGCTTTTCAAGGTGACAACACAGATGCTACGTCTAGGTTCAGGTTGTCACCTTACGTCCTTCAGTACAACTCACATGTTTGAGACTCTTCGGTAGTTTTCCGGACATTCGAAGGACAGACACTTGTAACTCCCCAGAACATTGTAGCACTCCTCCGACGCAGAGCAGTTGTGCGTCCCGATGCCACATTCATCAATATCTGAGGAGAGGAAAAGCTCGTTTAGAGAAGAAGATCGTCATCGGTCTCATTGGAAAGTCACACGAGGTCCTTAAAGCGCTGCGGCAATGAACTCGGCAAACACAGTTGTAGCAGCATTCTGGTTGTAACACTACAATGTGGCCACTAGATGGCGATAGAGAACCATTGAAAAATACATAACCGTTGCCTGTGTTTCTTTATCGCCATCTGGTGGCCACATTGTGATATTACAACCAGAATCTTCAAATCTAATCAAACCTGATGAATGTTCGTGCGTGTGCGTTTATACGCGCAGGGTGAACGTTCACAGACATTCGCCGGGCGGCTAGGTCACGGAAGCATCATTACAATTTTTCTTTTTTCTGTCCGATCGGTCGGTACCTCTGCAGGACAGCCCATTGGCGGACATGGTGTAACCGTTCTCGGGGCAGGCGCACTGGTAACTCCCCGGCGTGTTCACACAGGCGAAGACACACAGGGTCCCGATGCTCTGCTGACACTCGTCTATATCTGGAAGCGGAGAAGGCGATCGGTTACATTTTTAGAAGAAAATTTCACGTTTTTTCCATTTTTTTTTTTCAGGCAGGAAAACGGATCTGATTGGTTGTTACCTTCGCAGGAGACGCCGTCGTCGCCCAGCTTGTAGCCCTCCTTGCAGTAACACTGGTAGGACCCGTAAATGTTGGTGCACTCCTGGTTGCACGGGTTCTGCTCGCACTCGTTCACGTCTGCGGAAATAGAAGCGTTTTAGGGGGACATGAGCATTAAAGGGGAGCGCCGCCTACGGCTGATGGCTTTGTTGTGGCTGCCGACAAGCTGAATCCCATGTGGACTTCTTAAAGGGTATGTAGACCCCCAACTAGAAATGTATCTTATTTGCTCCTTTCTGGTTCAGTAACGGCTTACGGGGTTATCCACGAAGCTGCCGCAGGCAGCCGAGCGAACAACCGAGCCGTAGTGAAGTGAGCAGAACGACGTTCGGCTATTCACTACGGCTCAGTATGGCTGATTTCAGCCGTATCGAGCAGAATAGCAAATCAATGAGAATAGTTTAAAAAAAAAAAGTTGAAAAAATTATTTGAAAAATGTCAATAAATTGAAAAATAAATAAAGATTTGAATAAAAAAAAACCCAATAGGGTGAAGCTAACAGTGACAGCTAGCTCCGCCCAACTGTTTCCTATTGACCGACACCTGCTGGAGTCTTTTAGCAGATCCCGGGCCAATGAATAACAACTGGGCGGGGACGGCTGAGACGTCACATCAGGCTCCGCCCAGTTGTTATTGTTTTCATGGGGACGTTTGGGGGAGACGCTGATCTGCCATTACAAGTGGGGCGGAGCCCCCCCCCGTGAGATCACGGCTGGCTCCGCCCAGCTTCCCTTTGCGGAGGTGAAAGGCCGGCTTACGCTGGTTGTTTGCCTCAATTTGGCTGACACCGAATGCCTTCGGCTCGGCTGTGCCCTGGGCCGCCTTCGGGTGCTGTACGGGATATAGTGAATAAGCCGGTACAGCAGCACTTCGCTTCGACTGAACCGAAGGGGGTCCAGCGGCCGAAGGATCACCGGAAGCTACGGCTGGATCCTTCGGCAGCTTTGTGAATTGACCGCTGAGTCCGCCATTTGCAGAAAGCTAACGAATGCGCCCACATTACAATAACAAGAGAACATTTATTACATTGTTGTACACAACACCAGGGAAAGGGAATATATATGACATACTGGATCTCAATAAATTTTTTTTTACTGGTGACGGGTTCTCTTTAACTGACAATGTATCCGACACCTCTCCGAATCAGTCCCGCAGGGCTCAGGCTTTCATGCCATCACTTACTGTAACTGAGTCTCTCTTCCGG